TAGCATAGCATAGCATAGCATAGCATAGCATAGCATAGCATAGCATAACATTCAAGCATCCGCATCTCTGCGGCAAAGCCATGTTCTGTGTGTGCTAACAGCAGAACCAAAGTTCAAGTCCCATATTTAAGCCCCATTAGGACCGACACTGGCCCTGTGGGCAGGGCTTTTGGCAAAGGAAGAAGGGGAGCAGCATTTGGAAGATGGGATCACCTGGCAGGTGTCTAGTGAAGCATAGTGAAAAGTGAGGTGATACTGCATGCACCCAAAGGTCGGCTGAGTCAGAGATGTTGCCATGCTATTTTTAAATAAATGAGGTATGGAAGGATCCTTTTACACTAATGTAGATTGCATAGCCATGACATTTTGAGCTGACTTGTGCCCTAAAAACAAGCTAAGGGGGAGGATCTATTTGTATCCAAGAAAATGATGGGAGTTTTTACACAAGATACACGTTTCTACTAAGTTAATGACATCTCTATAGATACATTATGTCTGGAGTGATGGAAATAACTCTGAGTATAATAGCAGGGCAGTGTTTTGGAGAAAATGCTAGGATTGTAAATAAAGATGAATACACTTATAATTCTAAATGTGATAAAGTCTCCCTTTTTTTCACCCCCAAGTCAACAATTATGGGTGTGGTTTGTGCACTGTGGAACAAATAGGAGCCAATGGTGCAGACCATTTCTCCATTTACCACAAGATGGCATTGCACTGGAGGATATGTTTTTTCTTGGACCTTGTTATTTTTTCACCTAGAATTACAGATAAAATTAACTTTAAAGATGTGTCTTTGAAGAGATGTACGTGCACTATTAGATGAGATTCAGTCATACATCTGTACTTCTGAATGGCAGTCTGGTCAATACCTACCTGCTGATCCTTGTGCTCTCCTGAGTTTTGTTCTTATGTGGTGAACTCTTTGAGTTCTTTTGGTTATTATTTGTACAAAATCCCAAAGCTTTCATATAAATGACTAGGAGTGGAAGGACACAATTGCTAATATTTCTTACACTTCCAAAGTTACCTTCAGAGTTTATGATTACTATGTATCAGAAAGAACAGCAGAAGGAGTACATACCAGGATTTGTTCCATTTCATCTGATAGCCTGAACTTGCTAAGAACAGAAAAGAAAAAAAAAAAAAAAGAAAGAAAGAAAAAAAAGCCTGTAATGTAGCAATTCACTTTCTGGGAACTGTTGTTTAGAGCTGAATTCCAGTTTTCTTATGTATTCCAGGAATTGTGATTTGCTATATGAGTGCTTGCAAATCAGTAAACAGGTCTGTTTGTTTGCTGCATGGAGATCATTGCCAGGAAACTCTACACTCAGTACACTTGGTCTGAAACTGAGTTCAAAGGTGAGTTTTTTAATGCCTTTTTTTTTTTTTTTTTTTTTTTTTTCTTTTTTTTTTTTCTCCCTTTGCTGTATGTTTCATTGCTGGAGGCAAGGAATTGCTCCTGTGCACTTAGTCTCTACGCATGTGGTTGGAGAGTCACAATTAATAATAA